TACCCCCACAGGTACCGGGATACTGAGGGACAGGACAACTGCTGTACTTTCTGAATGTCATTAAGGCATCCCAAACCTTAGCTGTATGTCTTTCAAATGTGCCCTCTTCTGTCTTCACTTTCTTCCCTTTTCACTGTAGACCCCATGGTCCATCAGCACTATCACTCTCTTGCCCTCTTGCCCTATTCTGGAGAAATCACCCACCCTTGCATAGCAGTAATGTCACAAATTTGTGCTAACCTCATCTTGGCCCTCAAAACTGTATCTCTAATCAGATCCCATTCCCACCAGCAGCCATTTCAAAATCTGCACTCTCTTCAAACATAACATTGTATCTTCCCCTCTTCATTCTCAGCATACCTTACCTCTTCCTTGAGTGAAAAATCGAAAAAACAATCACCAAGGCCACTAGACAGGAATTCTCTCAATTGTGTCCCCTACTAATCCACACGTTTATTAACATCAACACCCATCCTTTTTACTTATTGTTAGCGGAGGTATTTCTCTTCCTGTCAAAAAAAAAATTCTTGTAATTTTAACCCTGATCCCTAGTCTATTTGACACCTCTCCTCTATACTCCCATAGAACCCTGTGGATACTATCATAGGGTTTATCACAGTGTACTTACCTCTCTCCGCACTATATTTAGAGATCTTTGAGACTCTCTTACTAGGTAGCTTATCTTAGCAAAGCTATCTTTCTATGCTTCATTTGTCTCGTCTCTAAAACAGGAATGATATATATAAGTTTCCACAAATCCAGGGTCTCTAGTCATGTTACCCTGGGTAATTATTTGACTTCTCTGTGCCTCAAATTCCTCATCTCTAAAATGCGGATAATAATGTATACCTCATAAGGCTGTCAAGAGGTTTAAATGGGTTAAAACCATATTTTATCTGATATGCATTTTACACTTAAAGCACATTTCAGTTTAACCTAGCCACATTCCTAGTGCTCACTAGTCGCATGAGGCTAGTAGCTACTGCATTGATCAACACAGATACAGAAAATAGCTAAAAAACCTTTTAAGAATATTAATGTGACAATTTAAAAAAAAAAACTTTCAGACCTATAGGACTGGAAAGAATAGTTTATGTATCATAACAATTATTTTCCATATTTTAACATCTCTGAAAACCAAACTAGTCCTATGATCAATGTCATGTGACAGTTTAAATGGCAGCAATCTTTCTTAGTGGTTCATGAGATGATGGTGCATCTTACAAATGATAGCAACTTAGAGTTGATGAAATACTGTGTATATAAAGCACTTAGTACCTGGCATGTAAGCCTCACATAAATTAGCTATTATGTCTTAGTCACATTTGTATTCCCAACATTAGTTCAGTGCCCAGCATAGATTGTAGTTAATAAATGTTCAGTGAGTGAATTTATATAGGATGCCTTGCAACCTCAAATTTTGTACATCTAAACCCAAATATATTAAATTCCTTCCAAAACTAGCTCCTTCTCACAAATTTCCTCTGTCATTCTGAGTTATGCTGCTTTATAAATTCAGATCTTTAATTCCTGCCTTTCCCTAATCCAGTTTAGATACCAGGTCATGACAATTCTTCCTTTACAATTTTCCCTACAATCTGTCTTTTCATTTGCATTCCCACTGTCACACCCTTAGTCTAGGACAGTGATTCTCAAACTTTTTGGTCTCAGGACCCTTTACACTCTTAAAAATCAGAGAACCCCAAAGAACTTTTGTTTTTCTGGATTCTGTCAATATTTACCATATTAGAAATTAAAACTGAAATTTTTTTTTTGAGACACAGTCTCATTCTGTCACTTGGGCTAGAGTGCCGTGGCATCAGCCCAGCTCACAGCAACCTCAAACTCCTGAGCTCAAGTGATCCTCCTGCCTCAGCCTCCCGAGTAGCTGGGATTACAGGCATGTGCCACATGCCCAGCGAGTTTTTCTATTTTTAGTAGAGATGGGGTCTAGCTCTTGCTCAGGCTGGTCTCAAACTCCTGAGCTCAAGCAATCATCCTACCTCAGCCTCCTACAGTGCTAGGATTACAGGCGGGAGCCACCATGCCCGGCCTGAGAATTTTTTTAATGTTTATTAACTCATTAAAAAATAAACCTATTACATGCTAACATAAACATTCTATGAAAAATAACTATATTTTCCAAACAAAAAAATAGCAAGAATAGTGACATTTTTTTACATTTCTGCAAATCTCTTTAATGTTTCAGGCTACATAGAATACAGTTGGATTGTGCTTCTGCATTCTGTTATGTTGTTTTGATTGAATTACATAAAGAAAATCCAGCCTTACAGATATGTAGTTGAAAAAGGGAGGAATATTTTAATAGCCTTCCCAGAAAATTGTGGATATTATTCTTTCATACTATACCAAAACTTGACAAGTAGTAGTTCTTAAGGATCAGCTACAAAGTAGAATCTGAGACCTTATCAATAAAAGCTTTGTACTGTTCCATTAAAATTCACTGATGTATCTTGCATTTTGAATGGATGTTTTACCCATGCATGATTTTGTAACATGCTTGCTCATCTGGAAATATTGGTTCACTGAGTTATACCAATCTTCCAAATGTTGACACATTTCATTATATAATATAAAAAAATCACATTGATTAACATGGTCACCCATCTCATCAGAAAAATGTAAGTATCTTGAAGCTGTCAAGTTTACGGTGGCAGATTCAAATTTTCCAAACTTCAAATTTTCACTTGAATGCTCAAATTTTATCATTGGCAACAAATACTGCCAGTTGTTTTCTTTGAAATAACAGGCTTGCTTTGTTCGTTTTCAAGAAAACATCTTCCAAATACCCAAGTCTGAATAACCATAGTTTATACATTAGTCATTCTTTCAAATAAAAATGGTGTTCCATGAAAAAAGCAGCTAATTTGGCTCACAACACAATCACACAAGTGCTTTTCCTCAGAACCACCAGCGTAGTTTAGTATGCAGAAGGGCTTTGTTTGTATTTGCCATTTCATCACACAGAATATTAAAGAAACATGTCAAGGGTGAAGAGTTAATAAAACTAATGAATTAATTTTTACTACTTCATCTGACATTCTTAAGTGAAACTAGCATTTCTGTTTTTTACCGCAGTGAAGAATACAATGACCACTAGTACAATCTGGTGCCCCTGCCTTGATTCATTTTAAAGGGCTAGCAGTTTTATCCACCATTGCTTTAGCGACATTAGTGCCAATGTCAAAGTGAAAATAGCAAATAATATCTTGGCATTATTATGAAAATAATTTTGACGTTTCAGACTTTCTGAAAGGGTCTCAGGGAGCCCCAGGGGGTCCACAGACCATATTTGAGAATTTCTAGTCTAGGACTTCATCATGTTATACCTAGATTATCATGTTAGCCTCCTAACTAGTCTTCCTGCATCTAGCCTCTCTCCTAATTCATATTATTTGGTGCTACCAGATATAGCTTCCTACAAAGCCGCTTTAAACATATTCTGCCCACAAATTTTCAGTGATTTCCCTACTGAATAGAGAATAAAACTCAAATTCCTTAGTATCACATTAAAAGACCTCTATAGGCCGGGTGTGGTGGCTCACACCTGTAATCCTAGCTCTCTGGGAGGCCGGAGGCGGGCGGATTGTTTGAGCTCAGGAGTTCCAGACCAGCCTGAGCAAGAGCGAGACCCCGTCTCTACTAAAAAAAAAAAAATAGAAAGAAATTAGCTGGACAACTAAAAATATATAGAAAAAATTAGCCGGGCATGGTGGCACATGCCTGTAGTCCCAGCTACTCAGGAGGCTGAGGCAGGAGGATCGCTTGAGCCGAGGAGTTTGAGGTTGCTGTGAGCTAGGATTACGCCACGGCACTCACTCTAGCCAGGGCAACAGAGTGAGACTCTGTCTCAAAAAAAAAAAAAAAAAAAAAGACCTCTATAATCTGTCCTTACCCAACTCTTTCAGCCTTACTACCAAATACCAATTCCAATTAAATCAGGCTGGTCTATTTAAAGTCTCCTGAAACACGATTTACACATCTCACAACTTTGCTTGAAATATTCTCATCATATCAAACATTTCCTCTCGTCAAACCCCAAATCCTATTCAATCTTCGAGGCCCAACACCCACATACTTTATGATACTTTTTCTAATCATCCTGATTTACAGTGTTCTCCTCCTTCCTGGAAATATTACAATTATTATGCTCACACTATCATATACTGTTTTTGATAGTTTAACTCTTGAGTTGTTATTTAACTCTATGTGCTTTCATTAATTCCCCAAGTAGATTTTAAGTTCCTGGAGTACAGAAACCCTGTGCTAAACTTTGAATCTTCTACAGTGCCTAGTATAATGCAACAAACACAGTAGAAACATCAGTTTCTAAAAAGGAAATCAATGAATGAATTCCCTTCCCAAAGGCAAGAGGAATACAGTTAGATGAGTGGTTCACATGGTCTGTGAACTACTGATGGTCCTTGAAAGACTTCCAGGTGGACAGATTTATTTCTTAGAGTTATTAATGTTTTTAATGGGAATAATTATGCTATTTAATCAAAATCAGTCCATTGGCAACTCATGAAAAGTAATCCTCTCCTTCTCATTAATTCTGATGAGGTTTTTGCAGTGTTAATCAAGAAAATGTAGAGTAAGTGACCCAAAGGACCCTATTAAAGTGGTTTAAAAAGGAAAAGATGGCAATCACCACTCTAGATCAGGAAAGACAACTCCAATGTGGAATCAACTCTGTAACATTTTTATTTCCTTAAAAGAAAATACAAAGCAAATATGATAAAAATTTTATATTTGTTAATGTGAGAAACAGGTATAAGATAGAATGTTATTCTTTGTACTTGTCTGTATGTTTGATATATTTATGTTTGAAATGTTATCTTTGTACATTTCTGCATATTTGATATATTTTAAAATAAATAAGGAAAAACACATCATGTATCACTCTGAAGCACATGTTACGTCACTATACATGCATGTAATATTTGATTGACACTTGATGCTGTCCAATTTTTACTTACCAGTGCGTCATCTTGCAATGAAGCAAAAAAGAAGCCATAGAGCAAGTTAATTTGCTCCTTATGATCAATAAAGTCAAACATTGCAACCAGCCAACGATAAAAAAGTACCTATCGAGAGAGACAAAATGCTTATCTTTAGAGAAATATAACTGGTACAGAAGAGCTTAATTCCCCTCTCAGGGCTGTTTTAGAAGCTTCTGGCACAAAGTAAGATAATAGATTTTATTTCTCGGTAAAAATTTCTGTTTGACCAGAGTCCCTGCATCAAGCTATATTGTTCCAAAACTACAGGCTTTGCACAAAAGGCCACTGCCATTACTCTGTAAGTGGCTCTTCCTGGCCAGCCCTTAAGTGGTTCTGAAGGACTTATCATCAAAGTGTTTAAAAAGATTACCTTGATGCTACCAGAACACTTGCCAACGCAAAGCCAGGAGACTGCCTTAACCACAGAATCTTCTGATATTAGAGTTGCCGGAATCATACACTTCAATAGCCGTGTGTTTACAGCATTTCCTGAAAAGCAGATAAACTCTGAATTAAGCTACATTTTAGTGTCTCGATGGTTCCTTTACTATTATTCACTCTTAGACCTAAAAATTTCTCTTTATATTGAAGGCAATAAAACAGCAGTATATAATATTCAGTACCTCTTATCATCATTAAAAATTATTCAAAACACAAATGTACCTTTAAGTTCAAATATAAACTATAAAGCAAATTATTTGGCCCAAATATTTCTATTTAAAAAGGGGGGATGAGTACAGGGTTTCTTCTTGGGGTGAGGAAAATGTTCAAGGATTAGATAGTTGTGATGATTGCACAATTCTGAATATGCTTAAAAACTGAATTTTTAAAAGGATGAATTTTATGGTACGTAAATTATATCTCAAAAAAAGCCTTTCAATCAGAGGGAAATTTCAAAGATTATTTTTTTAATGGCATAATAGACTGATTTATTCAAAGCTACTGACAGACACCTTGCATAAGATGCTACCTTTAAAAATAAATCTATTTGTATCCTCCACTCCCCAAAAAAGGGAGGGAGAGTACCAAAATCGAACAGATATCCTTGGAATTAGCCAGCAGTAATATCATCCTACACTAGTCAAATCTTTCCATCTTGCTCTCTGGCCTCCATGGTGTTCTCCCATCTGGTAATAAAAGTGATATAACAGAGACAGGCTTTGTATATACCCAATATCAACTTATGCCTATTAAAGCTTAAGAATTAAAATATATCTCATCAATTTCTACCCTATCACTCTGTGGAGAAGAAAGGATGCAATGATGGCAGGTAATGAATCACAAGAATAAAAATCTCTGCTTTCCACACTTGTGGTTTCATTTCGTTTTTTCTCTCCCACTCCCATCTACTAACCCTTCTAAGTTTAAAATAATCTCATCACTAACACCTTACACATGTACTAAATTCAAAGGGGGAATTCAGTACTGACTCTACTTTTACTTCCCAGTGGTTTTTTAATTAATTTCTAAAGAGTCTAAAGTCCCTTTGCACCTGATTATGATGATATTTCTAGCATATCTGCCCCTAAATAATGGGTTTCAACTTACCAAGAGAGCTACATGTAATGATCTAGTAGGGATAGGGGACAACACAGAAATAACTAAAAGGAACAAAAGGAATCAAGGAGGCCACATTTGACCTCAGCAAATTCCAGCTTACCAGAAAAATGAAAAGTAACACTAGAAACCCAGAAATTCTTTTTTAAATTGCTATATACAAGTTTCCAGAGTCTGAGGCATGCATTTTGAAATACCTCAAGACCTAGTAGACATTGTGAAAACCTTCTATTAGTTTCTGAGATATCAGAAAAGAAAAATTCCAAAATAGAAAACACCTGTACATTCTATATATGTTTTAAGGGGAGATAGGAGTTGTACAACTGATCTTGATAGACATTGATCAGTTAAACATGAATTCCTGGAAGGATATTAGCACCAAACAATCTGAAACCACCTACAAGAAAAAAAGCCAATTTTATTAGGTCTAATTTAACTTTCTAGGAAAACACAGAAAACTAATCAGGTAAAAGCAGAGAAATAAAATACCTGAGAGTCATATATTGAATTCAGTTAGTAATGTGTTGTTACTTTAAAATACACGCACACCTGCTAAAGTGCTGCTAAGGTATGCACAAAGGAACCTAACATGCAAGGGCTAGGAAATATTTAGTATACAAAGCATACAGTTCTCATAGCTGTCTTAATTTGTTTAAGTAGAAAAAACAGGCCAGGCATGGTAGCTCACGTCTATAATTCTAGCACTTTGGGAAGCCAAGGTGGGACGATCGCTTGAGCCCAGGAATTCAAGACCAGCCTGAGCACCATAATGAGATCCCGTCTCTACAAAAAATACAAAAATTAGCTGGGCATGGTGGCACACACCTGTAGTCCCAGCTACTCAGGAGGCTAGGGCAGGAGGATCACTTGACCCCAGGAGTTTGAGGTTCAAGAAAAGAAAAAGAAAAGAAAAAACAGTGACAATGTGGTACAATATAAACACCAGAATGGGAGTTTGGAGAGCTGATTTTCCCACTTCTAGCTCTGACATTAAGCAAGTCTCTTCAATCACTCTGGGTCTCCATTTTCACCTTTAAAATTAGGATGTTTAGGGTCTAAAAATATCTTCCAAGTCTGAATTTGGATGAGAGAAGGTTAAAAGGTTCTTTTCAAGTAAATAGAATATTGATCAGGTGTTATTTCCAAAAACCTTTCCCAACCATCTCCACTACCACCAATGAACTTAGAACAGGAAAGGATGCATTTGTACAAAAGAAAAAGCATCTTGATTTTTAAGGTCACAGACACTGGAATGGAGACAATGTAAACAGGGGCTTGCCATAGATTAGTAAACTTAAAAGCAATGAAGTAAATTAAGTGATCTTTTAAAGGAGACTTATGGCAACATTATTTAAATTGTTATCAATGTTTCTTTTTTTTGTTTTCTTTTCTTTTTGAGACAGTGTATTCCTGGCTCTGTCACCTGGGCTAGAGTGCAGTGGCATCATCATAGCTCAATTGCAACCTCAAATTCCTGGGTTCAAGCGATCCTCCTGCCTCAGCCTCCCAAGTAGTTGGGACTACAGGTATGTGCCACCACGCCCAGCTAATTTTTTCTATTTTTAGTAGAGATGGGGTCTCGCTCTTGCTCAGGCTAGTCTCGAACTCCTGAGCTCAAGCAATCCTCCCACCTTGGCCTCCCAGAGTGCTGAGATTACAGGCATGAGCCACCGTGCCCAGCCTGTTATCTATGCTTCTTAAAAGAAATGCTAAAAAATGGTTACCATGTATTTGGTGACAAGAGTCTATGCATTTTATTTGTAAAGATATGTAGTAACTGGTCATTTTCAGCATATACATACAGAAACTTTTCACTCATAAGGTAGTCTAAGCACAAGAAAGGCCCATTTTATAATCTTACCAGATTGGTCTTATGAAGATAATAGTAAGAACTGCAATTGATTCCAATGAGAAATCTAACTCGAAGTCTAAAAGGCAAAATAGCAAACTGATGACAAATGTATCCCCTAAACATACCAAATTTGCCACTGAGTGCCACATTTAATAGAATGTCAATTTCTTCTGGAGCTAACCCATTCTTCCAAGCCACATCTTCCACAGTTTTCAAGTGCTTTTCCAAGGTTTTATCTTTATTTTGTGAAGTTTTAATGGGACCTGAAAAAAACAATATTAAATAGTGAGACCTTTAAGATTCTTTTAGTCCTCAGCCTGAACAATTACAACTTGGGACTCTTTAAAGGAATAGCTTTATGTAAAAAGTGTCTTCCTAAAAACCCTTCAAAGCCCTTAAAACTCTATAATATTTGATAGCAAATAGCACCTTCAGTGAGGAAAGCCCAATCATGCCCTGACATTCCTTTTCTAAACTATCTAAAAACATTGAACTTATACTATAACCTGTTTCAATACTTGGGCAGTGGTTCCCAAACTTCGTTATACATTGGGATCATCTAGGAAGCCTTTTAAAAAATCCCAAAGCCAAGTTGCATTCCATACCAATAAAATCAGAATATTGGCAGGGCATAGTGGCTCACACCTATAATCCTAGTATTTTGGGAGGCTGAGGCAGGAGGATCACTTGTGCCCAGGAATTCAAGGTTACAGTAAGCTATGATCATGCCATTGCACTCCAGCCTGGGTGACAGAGTAAGCCTCTGTCTCTAAAAAAAATTAAAAATCAGAATGTCTAACAGTGGACATGAGTTTTGTTTTGTGTTTTAAGATTCTCCAGTGATCCCAATATGCAGCAGTTTGGGAACCACTCTGCTAAGATGTTTTGCTCTTGTGTCCCTAGTATCTAGCATACAGATATATGGTAGATGCTCAATAAATGTATATTTTTACAGAAATAGGACATTCATAGGGAAAACAATCCACCTTTACCTTTCTCAAAGTATCCCACTGCTACTTGCAAAGCGTCTTCAGCTTGATCATCAGCATGTTCATAATCTTCCATTGGACTATTCTGCCCATGTTTTGAGATGCTCTTTGAGTCACTTAGATCCTGTTTTACTTTCCAGGCTGAGAGCTTGGTTTGACGACTATTACTACCTTGTGAAGTACTGTTTTGTGCCTGGGAGTTCTTAACTCTTTTTTGAGGCGACATTACTGCGTATGTAACAAATGTTAAGTTATCATTAATCAGCCAAACTCCTTTTTCCTCCACAGGGATAGGGATCACATCTGCTTGTATTCCCAGTACTTAGTACACAATACCTAGCATACAACAGATACACAATAAATAACTTGACAGTCCAGGAAATAAAACCTATAGGTTAACTTTCTCAGAAAGCCCTTGACCTAAATAGAAACAGAGAGAAAAAACTTGCCAAGGTAACATTCATCAGCTGAACTGGCCATCTTGTGGGAAAAAAAAACAGTAAGATTATTGGCAGCATAGGAAATTCTCTCTTAGAATGGCTACGTCATATCAGTGAGTCCAAAACTAATCCATCTCATGAACTCAGTCTTACTTTCTCCACTCCTCTTTGATTTTGCTTTAAAAGTTTATGCTCCTCACTTTGTCAGTGCTAAGACTGCATAGTTCAAAAGCCAAGCTGGTGGCCAGACTAAGCATTCTCAGGAAAGAAACATTCCCCATTTATTAATTCACTTATTCAATAAATAATTACTGAACATCATCTATATGATAAGTACAATTCTAGTTACCAGGATAAAATAATCAAACAGTCAAGGTCGCTGCTATCATGAAACTTTCACTGCAGGAAGGGGTAAGAGTCAATAAATAAGCAAATAATAATGAATATAACACACAGTGATGTGATAGAAAATAGGGTGGGAAGCTACTTTGAAATAAGTATTCAGAGAGCCTCTCTGAGGTGACCTTTAAGCTGAGATTTGAATGCAAGAAGGAACAAGCCATGTGAAGATCTGGTGGACAGGGAAGAGAAAGACATGCTAAGACCTTAGAGTAAAAACAGCTTTGAGGCTGAGCGCGGTGGCTCATGCCTGTAATCCTAGCGCTCTGGGAGGCCAAGGTGGGAGGATTGCTTGAGCTCAGGAGTTCAAGACCAGCGTGAACAAGAGGGAGACACTGTCTCTCCTAAAAATAGAAAAATTAGCCAGATCATCATGGCTCATGACTGTAGTCCCAACTACTAGGGAGTCTGAAGCAGGGGGATCGCTTGAGCCCAGGAGTTTGAGACTGCAGTGAGCTATGATGATGCCACTGCACTCTATCCTGAGCGACAGAGCAAGACTCTGTCTCAAAAAAATAAAATAAAACAGAGCTTTGTGTGTTAAAGAAACATCAGCAACACCAGTGTGCAGGGAGTGGAGTGAATGAGGTAAAGGGTCGTAAGAGATAAAGTCAGAAAAGTAGCCAGGGACTAGATCATATTGGGACTTGTAGGCCAGAGTAAGGAGTTTAGATTTTAAGTGCCATAGGAAACTATGGGGGCAGGGGAGGGTTAAAGAGGGAAATAATACCATCTGATGTGTATTTTAAGACCATTTTAGGCCGGGCGTGGTGGCTTATGCCTGTAATCCTAGCACTCTGGGAGGCTGAGGCAGGAGGATCGCCTGAGCCCAGGAGTTTGAGGTTGCTGTGAGCTAGGCTGACACCACGGCACTCTAGCCCGGGCAACAAAGCGAGACTCTGTCTCAAAAAAAGAAAAAAAAAAAAAGACCATTTTAGCTGCAGTGTGAAGACTAGAATGTTAGGGGTCAAGGAGTGGCAAGAAACCAATTAAAAGCCTCTTGCAGGAATCCAGATGACGGATGACTTGTAGTCTGCACCAGGCCTAAGGTGTGTAAAGTGTAGAGGTGGAAAATGATTAGATTCATGCTATGTTTTGGAGGTAGACTGGACAAGCCATAATAAAAGAATTAGATGTAGGGAAAAGGAAAGAAAAACCAAGAATGACTTCTAAGTTTTCGGCTTCAAATGGGAAAAATTAAGGGAATGGTTGTAATGACACTCAATCCCACCTCCCTAGAACAGATGAAGCCAGAGTAGGAGAGTAATATGTATGTCCAACCCAGAAAGAGGTTCTAGATTCCGAATTGTTTCCTAGGGTCCTACGAAAGGGCGGGGGAGCAGCTTCTAACCCCATCCGGTTGAACCGTCCCTGAGGCGCTCCCCGAGGATCCCTTTCACAGCCTGCCCCAGCGGGCAGCGAAACTGACCACGGAAAACCCGACCCCAGCCACACCTTGCAGGATAGTCCCGCTCTCAGAAGTTAAGAAAGTCCCTCCGCTCTTAGGGCGTACATTTCCCGCGGTGTTTGAAAGCACCTCACCTGACAGACTCCTGGGCCCCAAACCTCTGAAGTCCGAATGCCGCCTCCGGGATTCAAAGGAGCAGGCCCCACCCTACGCATGCGCTTCTGCGAAGGCCCAGGCGGCGACTGGGCGGAGCAGCGCACTCTACAGAAGCCTGATTGGTTGAAGTACAGCTCTACGGCGGGAGGTGGCGCGCGCACCGACGCTGACGCAGACCCAATTACGGAGAGCGGCTTGCCCCACCTACCCGGTGCTGGGGGCGCGCCGCGAGTGGGCCGTTGCTGCTGGAGTCAGCTGATTGGCTGGCGTTCCCAGTGTTCTAATAATGTTCGTCCTCGTCATTTTGCGTAAAACGGGACAATTAGTGTTTCAGTTCTTGAATTTAACATTATCAATTACAGTGATCATTTTGCCCAGAGTGACCTCAAGTGTCGGGACTTTGAATCTGTAGGAAAATATGAAACCGCAAATTTCACAATAAAGGCGGTTTCTTCCATGCTGAGACTTAAAGTGTCTGTTGCTTTCCCCAAGTGAAGCTAGAGGGCGAAAGGAAAGAAAGGCTGGATCTTCCCTCCTTTTACAGAGGATGGATACGGTTACCCTCAGAGGTTTTCTAGAGATGTGTGTTCTGAGCCAGATTTTGTGCCACCTTGCAAGTAGCTAGATGCCAACATGTAAATATTCCTAACCTTGAGGAATCAATTGACCTTAAAGAAAGTGACTAAAACAGCACCAGAGGCTTAGTCTAAGATCTGAGCTTAGTTCCTAATTTATTCTCTTATTAGAGTAGGAATAAGAGAGAAAGGATATAAATTTAACGACTCTCAATGACTTGTTGAGGCTAAAATATACATATAAACTTTAGGCAAAACTGTAGGGGGAAACTTTGCAATCTTAGAGATGATTAAAGTTTAAGTAGATGTATTTGGGAAAGGCTACAGCACAAATGATTATTTACCACATCTTGTGTTTATATGGTTTTCAGAGTAGTTTCACACTTATTTAATCATGCATGAAAATTGAGACTTCGATTTTTCCCGTGATGCTATTCTTTAGTAAAATTGAAATTTTCTCAAGTCATTTTTCATGCTTTTAATCATTTCATAGACTCAAAGAAATGTAAATTGGAAGGGATTTTAAGGCTTCTACACCCTTCTTTTTGTAAATGAAGAAACTGAAGCCCTGAGTGGTTCAATATCTTGTCTTACGTGACAAGTCTGTGGCAATGCAACTTTGTGCCACTTTGTGGACACATACATAGTGAGAGACAGTGGTTCATCTTTATTTAATATACCTTCAATTTTCTCTGAAATCATTTTTCTAGCTTCCTTTGGCATCACCTAATAAAGCAGAACTCCCCAAAACTGGACATTGTATTGGAATGCTAATTCTATGGCTTTCTGTCTTGTGTGCTAACATCACAAACATGTGGGGGAACTTAAATGAGATTGGAAAGTTGGCAACCTCGTTAGTGTATTAAGTGTTATACGACCCCCTCTCTTTCCTCTCCTCCCTTAACCAGACTTAAAAAGAGAGCCTGAGTCCTTTGATATGAGCCTTTCTTTCAGTATTTGTCCAGACAGTTTCCTCCAAATTTCAAAAATTTTTATTTTGAAAGAATGAGAGAAATAAGACAGAGAATTATCAATTACCAAGAACAATGACACTGAAGAAAATACAATAATAAGTACTCTCCCCACACACACCCCCCACCCCTTTCCCCATCCCTGGCACAATAATATTAAAACCATCAAAGCACATCTAACAAGGAGAAATAGCAGTATGTAATGAAGAAAGCAAATTTTCATACTGCTCAATCCAACTAACCCATATCAAATGTCCTTCCCCCAGCTAAACTCCACCCACCAGAATGATAAAGAAGTGTACAGGAGACAATCCTGGGCGATGACTTGGAACTCTGCTTACACTAGCAAAATTTAGTGAAGAATCAATAGGAGTAGTGAATCTGTTTGGCAAGGAGACACTAGATACAGCTTGTCAAATTTCAGATGATTTCAGAGAACAGCTAGAGTTTGAGAGTCACAGACTTCTAACAGGACTGATCCCTGCTCCCTCAACTGCAACTGTGGAGCAGCTGCCAAATCCTGGTTAATTGCAGAGAATAGTGGAAGTGAGGCAGCTTTGGGCTTAAAAAAATCTGAAAAAGATATCTGGTAACAAGTTTACTATTTCAGTTTCAAACTGTGAGTAAAGGGGCTTAGTAGATGGGACTCGGACAAAGGCAAGGTGAAACTTCCTATTTTATCACTTAAAGAATTAAACTATCTGTTGACTGCATATACCCGTTGTTTTAATTAAACTCAATATGGAGTATTTAAAATTTAAACAACTGTTAGGGTAGGGGCTAATTAATTTTACATATAACTCAGTGTCTCAAATTGAAATGAATTTTTTTCCCAAAGTGGTGAGTTTAAGTTTTCAGCTTAATCTATTGAGGAATTCCTCCACCATGGGAATATGTTACTTGTTTTATGCCAGAAGTAAGTAGGATTCTCTTTATGGGAGGTTTTTTATTTTATTCTGCCTTTGCTGGAATCAATCTATAAAGGGAAGGATACTTGTGCAGGATTAGTTTAAGATCAGAGCCTTCTCTGCACATGTGTGAGTGTACACACACACACGTACTCACACACACAGTAGTTAAATACATTTTCCCACACATAATCTCACAGTCACATGCTTGCTGGAGTCCATCTCACAATTACACTTCAATAGTAGCTGTATACATGTACATGCAGCAAGATGTGAGAATTGCCCCAGAGTGATTAAAGGTGGCACACAAATGTCAATGTGGGGAGGTCATTTTAGGGTATAGATGTACACAAGCCAATAGGGTCATTA